GTAGCGGACCGCTGTGGACTCCTTGGAGAACTGGGTCGTGGAGAGTCCCTTACAGCAGCGGACCGCGGAGGATCCTTTACAGTACTGGATCGGGGATGTTCCTTCACAGGGCTAGACTGTGGTGGATACTTCACAGTATCAGGCTGTGGTGGATTCCTTGAGTTCAGTGGACCGTGTACTTCTTTCTGGCGCTTCTTCTCTTTGATGTGCATCATCAGTTCACCAGGCCAGAGCGGTACAGTATCTTCTTTCACCGGAGGAGGCGGAGCTTAAAATGAGCACTGATTTTTTGAGGTATGATTCAATTTCAGTATCATTTTCAGCTTAATTTCCTAAAACATCAATTATTCCCTTAATCAGTTCTCAAGGAAAGTTTAAAATCGAAAAAAAACCGCGAGAAAATTCTTGTCGACGACGAAACGCTTACATTAGTGCGCGTTCATAGTCTGCGATTTGGTAGCTTCGATGGCGCGATCACAGCGACCGTCTCTACCGCTCTAATTATTCTACCAAATCGCTCGCGTGATCAGGGCGAGTTGACCGCGAAGTATGAACGCACTATAACAAGTGGAGCTGCAACCGTGCAAATGACCTGGCGATCACATCCCAGCTAGGACTTTCCCAAGCTAACCAGGTGCTTTCCTTTCCCTTTTAGGCCCACTAGTCAACGTCACAAGATGCGTCCCAGGAGGTATGAAGGCTTGCTACTCGAAAGAGAGCGGCTGAGCAACGCAGTCGCACGACTCTTCCACGTCACCTCTGCTTTTTTATGCCCTCTCATCGAATAGAGAAGGTGAAATACATATATCTACCTGAGGTAGCGTTCAGACTTCGCGTTGACGCCTCAAGCGAAGTCTGGATGTTGCCTAAGGCTTGAGAAAAACGTAGCAAGACGAAATAGAGCGAGTCAGACAAGGCGAACATGACATAGCATAGCCGCGCCAGAGCGTGCACACCCCCCCTCTTCCACCAACTACCTCTGCAGTAGGAAAATGTCAAGCAATCTAGCAATTCATCGAGCTCACCCTACATTTTTCGGCATTCAGTCTGTTCTCGAGCTGTAGACGATTTCCCTCGTACTTGTCGCGATTACGCCGACGTTGTGCTGCAGCGTCGATACGAACGTATCTTTGAAATTTGGCCATGTTCCCTGAATGGCCTACAGAAATCTGATTAATCAGTACAACACGATTGATTATTTACTGGAAACTGATTCGAAGTGAAGGGTGTTGGCCAGGTGGACCACGTTGTGGCGTCTTACAGAAACTACATAGTTCATGTGGTGGGGGTTATTAACAATATTTTCTCTGCACGTGCTGCTCGCGCGACGCCGCATCGCCGTGACGTGGACCTCCTGACCGACACACTAGAGTGATGCAGAGAGATCAGCTACTGAAGCGTCATCGCAGTACTTTCAAGATCGAGTCCCGTTGGGTCCTAGCAGGCTTTTTGTCCACCCATGGTCCTTGGATAGCTACCTAGGATGAAAGGCCTGGTGGGCTTGTCTGAGGGATTTCACACGCACTATACTTTTTCTACCGAATTGGGCCTAGAGGTGGGGGCATTTTACACTTTGGCCAGACTTTTGTGTTAGTTACTGCTGAATTACAAGTCTCATCCTGGGGAGACCTGCAGCCTCTTGTCAAGTATAAACGAAGCTCCTGTTGTTGTAGAGCTCTGCAGGAAGTTCCTCATAAGAGGCATCGGCAGTGATCGATGGGAGCCAGCCAGAATGTCCCCACCAAGCCGATCTGCGCCTATAAATTGGATGGCAGCCAGATACATGGCGTAATCAGAATATTGTACTGATAGGACTTCCAAGGGGGAAGGGTAACGGGTTTCAAAAACGGCATACTTGCAATCGCTATAGACGGCCTTTAGTAGAAAAAAGAGAAGATAAAAGGAAGTGCTTCCAAAAAGAGAGAGAGAGAGAGAGGGACAAGAAAAAGAAGTGGTTCAGGGAAGCAGTCTAGAAAAATCGCGGTTGGAATGCGAATGTGGCTAGAAGGGAACAAATAGAGCACAACTAATTAGATAAATATTAAAAACATCAAAATGGAATAGGCGTAGTGAAGGAATCTATGCTTAACTTCTCCTGAAACAAAGCAAATGAGCAGCAAGCAGGTGACCAGAAGCTATTGTTCACATGTTGCTAAGGAACATCCATAGAATAATTGATGATCTTCCATATAAGAACAGGGACGATTAGGTCGATTAAAACATTGTTATTCGGACTTAAAGACACTTCCCGCGATCAAGTGGTCCTCAAAATGACTCCGTGCCTTTTGAACTGTTATACGCGTTCACAGAACATACCACTTTCGTCCCTCAAAACGGCGAGATAAAGAAGTTAGAGACACGTGAGCGTGGCAACGCGTGCGACATCATACTGTAACTGTACCAGGCTCACAAGCTTCTATTCCTACAACACCCGCGCGGCACGTGTCGCGCGGCGCTTCTGGCACTTTGCCATCTTCGGTGATCCGCGCTTTCCATAGCGATTAAGCGCAAACCTCGCACCGTTGGACATAAATTGAAGACGCTTAGGCTGTTTTAGGGTTCCATATGGTTCTTTGCAAGCGCGATTCCAATTAGGAGGATGTGAACAAAAGAGCAGCAAACCTTTTTTGAGTTTCATACTCTGCAAGCGATGGGAAGGACGTGAACTGAAGAGCAGGTAGTTCGTCTTCCGTACTCGTGCAAGAGGAGGATAAGAAATGAAGAGCAGTTAGTGTGTTTCTCAGACTCACCTAATGATCTTTTAGATGGGGGCACTATTCAGTTGTTACTACCCCAATCTTCCGACATCAGACCAGTTTCTATCGACCTTTTCAAAAAAAGGCTAAAAATTTTGTTTCCAGACCTTCAACCTCCAAACACGAATATCGCATCGCTTGGCCAGGAATTGCCTGGCGCTCACGCCACGGTCCCACGGCTCAAGCTTTGCGCTCCAATCGCTATGGAGAGCGCGTCCTTCACGTCCGACATACTCGTCCAAGACGCCGCCCCACTGCTGAGGGGAGGTCTGTGTTTAGGGTGTTCCCGAGGTTTTTTCGCTTCTTTTTCTACTGAGGAGCTACTTATGGGCCACTGGTTCATGACTGAGCACCAACTACCCGTAACACTTGATCGCGGGAATTGTCTTTAAGGTACATTTCGCGATTGTCTCTCGGAAGCGTCGCAGGTAGTGGGGTTGAGAAGCAGAAATGTGGTGCCAGTTGACACAGTCGCGGAGAATAAGCAAACGAAGCCGTAAAACTGCACTTAAAAACAGCCCCCACGCTCAAGTAATTCGTGGTCGTCCTTCCTTGTGCAAGTAGTCCAGCCCCAAGCTAGAGACTGTCCCACTCTCGCGACTCCACAGCGAGCGAGGAGCGAGCTACAGCCGCTGAAAGTTCTAGTTCTAACGCCCTCAGTTGGACCGCCCTACTCTGTAGAATGGCCCCTGCTGACGGAGAGCGCTCAGACTGATCTTGTTGCTGGCGGCGGGCATCTTAAGACAATTTCTCGCCATTAAAGTGTTTGGGGTAGTTGCGGCTCTGTACAGAACCAGATCCCATAGGTGTAGCTTCTCAGCGGGAAAAGAAGCGGAAAACTTGGAAACCCTTGACATCAGAGTCCACCCAGCAGCCCTGGAGATGTCGGGCGCGAAGGGCGCGCGCTCCATAGCGATTGGAGCACAAAGCTTGAGCCGTGCGACCGTGGCGCTAGTGAAAGTCACAGGTAAGCTCGAAAAACACACTAACTGCTCTTCATTTCTTATCCTCCTCTTGCCATGAGTACGGAAAACGAATTAACTGCTCTTCCAATCACGTCCTTCCCATCGCTTGCAGAGTATGAAATTCAAAAAAGGTTTGCTGCTCTTTTGTTCACAACCTCCTAATGGAATTGCGCTTGCAAACCATCTGGAACCCTAAAACAGCCTATGCGTCTTCAATTCATGTCCAACGGTGCGGGGATTGCGCTTAATCGCTATAAAAAGCGAGGATCACCGAAGATGGCAAAGTGCCAGGAGGGCCGCGCGCAACACGCGCCGCGCGGGCGTTAAAGGGACGGAAGCAGCTCGGGACCCGACGCCTCGTCCACCTACCGTCTCCGTGAGCCTAGCGAGCCTTGTCGAAATCGCTATAACTTTCTTATCGCGCGCTATTGAGGGATGAAAGAAGTATCATCAAGACGTAGGGGTTCCAAAAGGCGCGGAAGTCATTTGACAGACCACTTGATCGCGGGGGAGTGTCCTTAAGGAATGCTTTCGTTTTTGTGGACTCCGCCTGGTGTCCTAAGTAATGTCTGCCTCTCCTTCACTCATAGGGAGGCCCATACAGCCCAACTTGCAACGCTTTCGGCACAAGGTCAAAAGATAAAGTCAATGAGTAATGCAATTTTTTGGTTGAAAAAGCTCGAGTGCACTGAAAAGATGCACGCTGCCGTAAACCTAAATTCCTTACGCCGAATTTTGAAAAAATTCTTTTTGTACCATCTTAACTTCTTCGATGAATTAGCTACTGGGGGAGCTGAAAGTGACTGAAAAAGAGATTCGTGAGTCAGTGGTTGCAGAGGAACCGCACGGCCGTGTGACCGCCAGAGAGTGATTTTGTATATGGTGTTCTTGAACTCTGCACTCTTCGTGCTTTTTTTTCCGTTGAGGAAAACATTTTGTCAGCTAATGTTTCATAATTGAACACCTATCCATGACACTCCATCTAGGGTTTAATGAGGGTTCCTTGTTCCGAGCGAGAGGCTAAGATTCATCGAGAACAAAACAAACAAACTTTGAACAAGAACTCAGGCACGAACATCACACAAAAACGAACAAGACGACAGAGTACTAACCGCGGACGGGTTACACGAGCTGCAGATGGAAGCATTCGAGTTAGTTCTGCGACCCTAAGCGCTACTCCTTACATTTGATGTTGAAACTGGAAAAAGGTGGCCCTTTGCGACCCGCACAACCACTGGGACATGACTCTTTTGAGAAATCATGAAGTGCGCCCCTGGTCGAATAAATAATCAGTCATTGTCATCACTGACGTTTACCTGCCCAAACATATATACAAGTACACTTGCTTGGTCGTTTCAGGGGGACGGGTGTGACCCGGCGCCGGCCTATTCTACACCGATTGCGGAGGCTGGCAGGCGATCAAAATTTGTGGAAAAAGATTTTAGGACGGGCTGGTCAGATCCAGGCCCCAAGAACTTCAACACTTCAGCAGAAGATCAAGACCGTAAGTCCCTTCCGTCGCAACTTTCTGATGCTGTCAATATTCATTGGGCAGATAACTGAGAAGTGAGATCTCGCCCATTGAATGAAGGAGCCAAGGTCCGCAGCGGTCAGCTTGTGTCACTTCATCTCTCTAAAGCGAGACGGAAGGCTCTGAAGGGCTTCGATTGCGTCAAGACTCCACACAAACCATGTTACAGCTTCCACGACGCTTCTCAAAGTGTCGCGTGTATCAACATTCTGTCCTCGTCGGGTGCGGTTGTACGGATATCTCGATTATGCTTTTGCTGAGTGCCTCTGCATCTCTACTCACCACATTGATCTTCCGACGCAGAAAGTCTATCGGTAATCTATTCGGGAGGTTTTGACGATTCCGTTCCCTCCTTTCTTTGATGGTAAGCTAATTTACATCCAAAAGTTCATTTCTAGGCCAACTTTTTTTATGATATATTAGGTTGTCCGGAAAGTTCTCAGCGTTTTGGGTGTTTCACTTTAAACGATCGTAACTTTTTAATACTCATCGGATTTAATCGAAATAGGCACCATTCGAATCAGCACACTTTTGCCAATGTGACAGCAGTCGAGAAATCCATCAAGAAAAAACTGGGTGGTCGAGAATCCACGAAATCTACGAAGGTCTTTTTTGCCTGGTCCTGATTGATGAAGTATTTTCCAGCAAGGGAGTTCTGAAAATGTTAGAAAAGGTGATAGTCGGTTGGCGAAAGGTCTGAAGAATATGGCGGTTGAGGTAGAACTTCAACCCCCAATTCGTTCAATTTATGGATAGTGATTTGTGAAACGTGTGGGCGGGCGTTGTCATGCAAAGGAATCGGACCCTTTCTTTTGATAAGTGTTGGCTGCATCTGACAAAATTTTCGGTACAATTCGTCGATTTCTTCACAGTAGGGTTCTGCTGTGATGGTT